ATATAATTCATTAATTTAATTTGTTTTTAACAAAATCAATTAGTGCAATTATGATTTTAAAAGATATATAATTCACTAATTTAATTTATTTTTAACAAAAACAATTAGTGCAATTATAATTTAATTTGTTAATTTAATTTGCTTTTAACAAAATCAATTAGTGCAATTATGATTTTAAAAAATATAATTCATTAATTTAATTTGTTTTTAACAAAATCAATTAGTGCAATTATGATTTAAAAAATATATAATTTATTAATTTAACTGTTTTTACTTTATCATTACAATTATATATAATTAATTATGATTTTAAAAAATATATAATTTGTTAATTTAAATTGTTTTTAACAAAATCAATTAGTGCAATTATAATTTTAAAAATATATAATTCACTAATTTAAATTGTTTTTAACAAAATCAATTAATGCAATTATGATTTTTAAAAAATATAATTCATTAATTTAAATTGTTTTAACAAAATAAATTAGTGCAATTATGATTTTAAAAAATATATAATTTGTTAATTTAAATTGTTTTTAACAAAATCAATTAGGTGCAATTATGATTTTAAAAATATATAATTCACTAATTTAATTTGTTTTTAATAAAATCAATTAATGCAATTATGATTTTAAAAAATATAATTCATTAATTTAAATTGTTTTTAACAAAATCAATTAGTGCAATTATGATTTAAAAATATATAATTCATTAATTTGATTTATTTTTAACAAAATCAGTGTTATCATTGCAATTATAATTTAAAGTTTTTACTTTATTAATACAATAATTTATTATATAATGTATTTAATTTATTTTTAACAAAATCAGGATATAATTAATTGCTATATCAATTCTTTTTTAAATATAAGGAATTTTTATGATTTTTTATCTTTTTTAATATTATATTAACTAAAAAGTAACCATTTTTTAATAGTACATAATATTAAAATTTTTTTTTTTTATTTATAAAATTAATTACTTTATTGTTTACATAAATATCAAAGAAATCATAAAAGATTCCATTTAAAGATTTATTATTATAAAGCTTTTTAAAGAATATTTCTTTTTGGATACCATAATCTTATCTGTTTATCATAAAAGTATATAATATTAAAAATTCGCTCAAATGACAAGAGAAAATCATTACCAAATAAAAAATAAACAAAAAATTTCGTTTTAATATTTCTTTTTTGTATTAATAAAAGAAATTAATATAATAGGTAGTTACACTTAAATAGTGTAATAATTATTTTAAACAATATCAAAAAAAAAGAAGAAATAGGATTATATTTAGGATTAGAAAAAGGTGTTGTAATTATTATTTAAAATTATTAAAATAAAGAAGTACGTTATTTAATAAAAAGTTAAATTTCAAATAAACAAAAAACCGTTTATAGATAAAATTTTCTTTTTTAATTACAAAATTACAAGGAGATAAAAAGGAAATCCTTTTTTTTTGAAATTTATATATGTAAATCAAATAAAAAGAGATTTATTATTATGTATATATATAATTGGTTCATAAAATATTATAAATTATAAATAAAAATGTGACATGTAGTAAAATATTTAAAAACTCGGTATTTATGGGGAAATTATGTAGATCCTTATTAAAAGGAAAAAAAAGAAGCAAGCGTGCGTGATAATCAATAATTATAATCAATCAATCAAGTAATATAATCAATCGCAAAAAAAAATAATCACATGCTTACATTAGTAATTTAAAATGAGCGGGCGGGTAGGTTTACGAAAAAGATAACCTAGAGTGTGGGTTACACATAAAGTTAATAATGAAGATATATTAAGAAGATAACAAAAGTAAAACTTGGATGTGATGTAGTAGTAACATCGATTATTCAATGCAGGGATAATACTCTATATCTTTTTTTACACAAAAGTTCTTGGTAATAATAATATTTTATAAAATAAATGGATTTTCATAATACATGAGCTTTTTTTCTTTTGATACGCTAAAGGGATAAAAAAAAAAAAAAATAAGGTAATGTAACACTTTCCTTTATTAGAATGAAAATCATTCATATTAATTAAAATTCTTTTTTGTAAGGATTCGGCTATAGGTTATTTCAGATTCACACAAATTTCGACTTTACATTCCACAATTAAGAATTTTAAAGTTTTAATAGAAGATTCCTTAAACATAATAGGTTGAAATAAAATTGCGCGCGAAGAAAGATAATTGTTATTTCTTGGAAACACGTATACGTATGACAACATTTGTGATTTAATAAAAGGTTAAATGAAAAAAAAAAATAAAATAAAATAATTTATAATCTTTAAAAGGATTTAATGTTGTTGTGTGTCATATGTAAATATAGAATTAGAATATGAATTCAGGAACTATTGTAAATATAATAATAATAATTAGATTGATTATGAAATTGTGAAATATCAACAGTTGATGGGCGTGGAATGTGGAATGTAAAAAGAAAAAGAAAATATAAAAAAAAAAAAAGAGACAAAATAATAATAGAAAGCTCCTACAAATATGACTAACATGTTTATCGGGCGGAATATTAAGCGGAATGAAGGGAAAGGGGTAATGACGATTGTGCAGGCTGCGCGTATTTTTAGCATGAATATCTTAAAAAAAAAATCCTGTTAGAAAAGCCAATATTGATTCTATTCTATTGTATAATCGATTAGATGAAACTATTAAAGACATTAAAAAAAACTTATGACATGGTTTGGTATCAAGGGGAATTATTTACTATTATAATAATATAAAACCTTCGCCCCATTTAATCATCATCCACTAATTTGTAACTCTCACATTTTTTTCACTGGTGGCTGTTTACACTTATTCCCATTTGGCCCCAATTCAATCAAACAAACAACAATCACAAAAAAAAAAAAAAATGAAAATTTTTTTTTTTTTATTTTTTTCCTTTCAACTAAAAAAACTTTGTCTTTTACACTAAAAAAGTAATTAGCTAAAATCATCAAACAGGAATTTTTTTTTTTTTTTTT